GCTTGTTTTACAACAATTGAAACAAATGTAGATCCCCTGAAACACCTGTTGCTGCAATGCGATAATCACGGTAGACCCAACATTTGTTCGTAGCACCTCAGCTGCATAGGACCTCAAAAGCCTAAATTGATCTTGTATAGTCCCTACCAACATCTCCTTGGCATATCTTCTCATCGTCCATGCCACATTTTAACTAATATTTGTATGAAAATCTTTTTTTACCATCGCCAAAATAAGTTCTCTTTTCCATTCAGGGTCTACCTTGAATTGTTCAATATACTGTTTTGTTAAAAATATGTAATTGCAAAATTTCTGTTAAATTGGTCGTGACTACATGTATGGTCCCCTGTATAAGATCTCACATGTAATCTCTCAGAATCATCAACTGCAAATGCCCATATCCTCCATGTGCACCCTAGTTTGCAAGCCCCTTGTACTCTTCTATCCTCATTTACCTTAAACGTTACATTATATCCATTCACTGCACCATATGTCCTTACTACCTCTCAAAACTCAACTGTAGAACTAAATAGTCCTTCGACCTCAAAATTTTGATTTTCCATTCCTGAATCGAAAGAAAATTAGGAAATCGATAACCACTCTCTTCGTCGAAAGAGCATTGGGACAATAGCTCATCCGACAATAGATATTCCAAATCATCTACTTCAATATCATTACCCTCAATCAGTTCATCCTCCACTCCCCTATCACATCGATCCAACCCCACTTCAATCCCATCTGTCACATTTATGTCATACAATATGTCATCTTTATCAGATGCAATTTTATTATCAGAATCTACAAAATTTGGATCCTCAACATAACCTGTAACAAAATCAAAACAACATAAATCAGAATTGAAACCTTCAAAAGTAATAAACTCACAGTCACTTCAAATGCAAAAATAAACACCTTTGACATTTGATTTCAAGCATTGCCTAAGACATTTGTATTTCAAATTCATCAATACTTTCCAAAAAAATTAACAGAATGCTTTGGTATCTCTATGTTCTAAGAATAATTAGATAGTTTAGTAAGCGGCATGTAAGAAATTATTCTTAAGTCACCATTGAAGTGAATGGAGAAAGTGGGACTTTTAATTTTGGCCTAGTCATACATGCACTTCCCATTTATAGAAACTACATCGATAACATTTTAGTAAAATATCACGCCTTCACATTACGAAACAATAGCGACAATATTCTGGAAAAGTTACCTTTACTTTTTTGTCATCCATATGCAGAGAGAAGTTAGAATCAGGCAACTAAATCTACACTCGCATTTTGGAGCTAAGAGAAGTTTAAGATGGAAGGGAACTGTTGGATTTATAGCAAAATGTAAGTGAACAGAAGTGGGTTTGGGTGTTTGTACAGGTGTAGAAACGAGTTAGACGAACCAATAGTGAATCCACGATCAATGTGGGGGTCATGGTGATTAGTGATTTTCTGCAAGATAATCCTCTTAACTTAGTTCAAAATTGATTTGGGGGTTCGATATGGGGATAGCTGTTCTAGAATTTTAGGTCAATGGATGGAAAATGCGAAGGTGGAGACCCATTTACAGAGGATTTCAATTTAGGGAAAATGCTAGGGCTACGGTTTCTTCAGGAGAGATGAATTGAATTTGGGTTAAATTTTTGGTCAGTAATGTCAATGAACTCGAAAATATTCACTATAGCGAAGGGCCTGTTTGGGTGATTTGTCATCCACGTGTCCACGGGGTTACCATTTTCAACTGAAAAACAGCATTCCATTGTCCACATAGATGTGTTTACAGACGAAATTTGACTAATAGTCGTTTTAGTGAAACAAAGATAAGTTCAATGGGTATTGGGAAGCATTGTAAAGTTCAATCGTTAATCCGTGACGATGAGTAAAGTACAGTGGCCACTGAAACAGTTAACTCAAATTTGCATCACCTCACTAGGATATACGACTAGGAGTTAGGCCATGCTTCTAATGGCTCAAAAGAAGTCTCAGTTGAGGAAATGGAACTATGGTTGTCATGCTGTGATGCCAAAAATGTCCAATCCAATTAATTTCTAGGCTATGATGATAAATGAGCATATTCGGTCCAGTGGGTTAGTTGTTATTACTTGATAATTTCATAGGTGGCCCAAAAAACCCTGAACCCAATATAAAAGGCTCAAATGGCGTTTACAAAATGCAACTTTAGTTGTTTTGGTAATTGAATAGTTGTTAGTAGCTCTGGATTGTTGATCTTAATATGAGATTAATTGTGATTGTTGAGGGCAATATATAGCCCTTTAGGGTTTCCTTTCTCATTCCAAATGTCTGATTCTTTCAAGAGACTAGGGTTTTCTCTCTGCTTCATCTTCAACCTCTTATTGGACATATTCTTGAGTATTCCAAGTGAATTCTTGTGAGAGTTTTTGTGATTTAGTAAGTGAAAAGTGTGTTTGGGGTCTGGGTTTAGGTTTTCTGGTCCATAGAAGCAACTTCAATAATATCTTTTAGGGTTTGAATTTGTATGGCCACTATGATACAGAATGGTACAATAATCTGAGCCTGCGTATATGATATCTTAGGGTTCGTTGATTGCAAATGTGGAAAATTGATGGAAAGAAAATATTGTACACTGAATTGAATTGTCTAGAAATTATTTTATTGGGAATTGTAATTAATTGTATTTGATTGGTATAATTTTTCACTTGAAAAATGTTGAAAGTTTAGTTTCGTTTGGCTTATTTTTTTATGAAAA